GTTTCAGTATTTGCTTAATATATTTAGTAGCTCCAATACTGGGTTTATGCATTTATAATTATTATATCCTCTTGACAAGCTAACCTCTTTATTATTAGAAATTGTCCTTCTTTCTTCTTACTATTTTTGGCTTACAGTCTATTCAGTCTTATATTAGGATAGCTATGCACACTTTCTTTTAATTTCAACTTGTATAAAATTTCATTTTTCTTTCTTCACTTTAAGCCTGTGTGTTTCTTTTAAGTTGAAGTGATTCTCTTATAAGCAGCATGTAGTTGGGTTTTGTCTTTTATTCATTCATAAATTCTGCTTTTTGACTATAAAATTAATCAAATTCCATTTAGAATAATTATTGACGTGTAAGGAATAATTAATGTGATCTTATTAATTATTTAAAAATATTTTACCATTCAATTGTTTCTTTATTTCTTTCATACTGCCTACTTTTGTTATTTGGTGATTTTCCCAATGGGTAATTGAAATTAACTATATTTAAAAATTCCTTAAACCATTGAGAAATAGATAAATATATAGATAGATAGATAATCGCTAAATAGGCTTTCTATTAATTTCTATTTTTTAAGAAAAAGATTACTTGTAACATCTTTTAGATTAAACTCTCTCTTTTCTACTCTCTTCTAATTATATACATATGTATCAAGCTTTCAAATCTACCTGCCAACTTTGGCCCCAAAATCTTTTCTCCTTCTACTTTATTCTTTTAAGTTGATTGAAATAAAAACAGGAAATAGAAGATGTAGTAATATAAATAACCCAAAACAGATAATGGTTAAATGTTTCAACCATTCAGATTTGGGCTATACTGAAAGTTGGTAGCTCAAATAAGAGGAAACAAATAGTTTGAAAGCTATTAGCAATGTTCTAAATTGATTACTACCTGTCACAATGATCCTATTTTTAACATTTGTGCATTTCATTTTTGATAAACTACATAGGACTCTATAGAAAAACAACTAGATATTCAGGAGTTAGCTATGATACAGCAAATGGAGTTTCTAGCACCACCTTCTGGCTAGTATTTTAGTGCTTTTTCCTTGACACTAGGTCAAAAACTCTTGAGGATACTGGCCAACTCAGGTGAGTTGTGCTAAGCCTTTATGAAAATGATTTACTAAGACAGTCCTGCCAAAGGCAACAGTCTGAAATTAAAAAATATATAAGGAAAAACCTTTTTTGTACTGAGCTCAAGGGACTCCTGAAGTTACCTTTAGTTAAATCACCTTCATTTACTTAGATAGATAAAGATCTGTATGCAAATTATTGATATTAAAATTTCATTTAAAGATATAAGTGGACTCCACTGTTCTTCACATTAATATTTTAATAAAAATTTTAGTTGGTAAATTCTGGACATTCAGAAAGAATTATGCATTCCCTCTACATATGCTATGGTTTTAAATGGATTTATTATCAGTTTTACATCTTTTCATTATTATTTCATTATTATGGATTTTGGAAATTAAAGAATATCCTGATTAAAAATATGCAGGAGCCTGTAGAGGACAAATGTTCATTCAGTGGAACTGTGAGAGCCAAATGGATGGTGTGAGGATTGTTTTTCTAACTTCAATTGACTTTAAATTTCTTTAGTAATGCAGATAATTTTAATAAATTATTTTTATGTCTTTAAATACCATGAAAAAATATGGAAGATATATATATTATGATTTCCTTCAAACCAAAATTCAGTGTGTACTCATCATCTAAAGAAACTTTGATATATAATTTCAATTATTCATATGCAATATACCTGCAGTATAAATCATATTAAGCCAAAAAAACCCCTCGAGTACAAAATCTTTGATTCCTTAAGTGAGAATATCTTTAGAATTTTTATCAAGGGTTATAAACCTTGCCCTAAGGCTTATGCATACATAATTAGACTTTATATTGCTAAATTATTCTCCTGAATGGCAGATCAAACTATCTTTGATGAGAATAAAAATATCCTACTCATTATCTCCTATTATCTTTATTGTTTTATGTTCCACATTTAAGTTTTTAAAGCATCTGACTTCAAACTTTGAACATGGAGTTATATGGGGATACAGTTTTATGTTCTCCTTAATAGCAGAACATTTTCTGATACCATCTGCTAAACAATATATTTTTCTATTGATTTTACTGACATCTTTATTTTATATTTAGTTGCCCCTTATGAATCGGTACATCATTAAATCTCCCTGTTGTGTTCCTTTAGTTTCAGTAGCCCTGCCACTAGCACTTTCTTTATTTCTATGGCTTTGTTGTATGTCTACTCACTTGTTTTCTTTTCAAGATGAGCCCCACATCACATAGCAACACACACATGCACACAGCATGTGGCACTGTGGTGCACTCTCCCATTTGCTGCCCTCGACCAGGCAAGTCCTCATGTCAGTAACTGATTTTAGGCTGTAGAAAGAAGCAGCATTGGGAGGGAGTAAACTGGGAGAATGCAATTTACTAGTTTTAATCTGCAAGCTCTAAAGGTGGAGAAATGAGAGAAATAAAAGCACTTTGGCATCTCCCATTGTCAGCAGTTGTCTTTTAGTGTTCTGACTGTATCATTCCACTCCATTGGCCAGAGTGGCTAGTGATTGTTTCTCTGGAAATGGGGCATCCAAACACTTAACATTACAACATAGGACAAGTAGAACCTACTTAGAGTTTTTTGTTTTGTTTTGTTTTCCATCCTCAACATAATATTCAGGTAACGGCAGAGCCCATACTGCAAGTAAAATTTTTAGGAGCTCTGCAGGCTCACGCTTCCTTCTTGCTTTCATAGTTTCATAAGGTAAGTACTAGTGCAGTGTTAGCCCTGGTAGTTGACATTTGTGAGAGTTGTCTGATGTTAAGAAAGTGATTGGGGGTTTTCAAGAACATCTGTAAAGAATAGATGGACAAAACCGAAGCAGTGGGGAGGGGTAGGATCAAGGGTGGGAAGTGGGGATGGCTGGGGTGGGGAGAGTGGTGGAGTGAAAAAGGAGACAACTCTACTTGAACAACAATAAAAAAGTGTATATGTATATTTATATATAATTTCATTAAAAAGAAAGTGATTATAATGAAAAGAGAATTATATCCATAAATACTACCATTATCAGCAAAGTACAGGAAAGGACTGATTTCTCTTTTGTGTCATATTTTTTAAAATTAGCAGTAGAAACCTTGTAGGACTTTGTTATAGGTTGAAAAGATAATAACAACAGGTATTAATACTAAAATTCAATGACTCACAATGCAGTTCCATGATCATTTCCTTTCCCTATAGCCCAAATCTGTGTAATTACGGATCTTCTGGTATCACATTCACGAGGAGGTTCAAATCTTTTTGCAGAGGATAAGTTCTAGAGTGCTTTAATGAAGAGATTTCAAAGCTAAACTGTGGGAACTAAAGTATATTTTCAACACTTGCTCAATGTAACCCTAGCAAATTAATTTCATCTTTGGTAAAATCTCATATGAAATGCTTTACATAGATTTTTCTTGTTGAACATAGTTAAGATCATCTCAACAGGGAAGCTGTAATCAAAAAAAAATATCCATGCTTAGGGTTGAGTTACACTCAGTAGAAGTTTTTAATTTTGCATTTCAGTGTAAAAAATCATTTTTATTTTTCAGTGAGATGAAACTGTTGAAACACAGTGTATTAAGACAAAAACTGTAATGTGCTCCCAGAAAAGAAAGTCATAGAATTAGGTGTTGAGCATGCAATTCTTATTGAGCAACACAATTCTGATCTGGCCCAAGAAACCAAACCCCACTTGCAATTATGGGTTCTGAGAATGTATTAAAATGATGAATGAAGGGCACCAGCCTCCCCGTTGTAGTGTGTTTGTCTTCTCTGTAAGGTGTTCTGGAACCTGTGGTGAATCCAAGCAGCTTGCCTGCCCCACACCCATTCCAGTTCTCTTCCAGTGTGCCAAGATTGGAAAGTTAAATAGAGTTCCTAGACTTTTCGTCTGTGATTTATGTTTCATCAGTCACTTACATTTGTGGGGAACTTCGACTCTCAGCTAAATTACACAGATAAAGAAACAAGAGTGGGGGAATCTTTTGCTGGTGTGGGTTTTAGCAAAAGAGTGGGTGAATAATAAAGCGATAGACAACCCAACTATGTATTTCTTTTTGGTTTACCACTCTCACAATAAATTGACTTTTATGTGTAAGGTATGAATGATATAACTACTTACCTTCATTTGACTATATGATTGTATTAGAAAGGTATATTTAACATTATAGTAGCAAATGTTTTTCTAGCTCCTACTGCCCGTTTTACTATGGTTTTTATATACATTGGCTCATTAAATCCTCAAATCACTCTGTGAGTTAAGTCCCATTAGTATTTCACTTTACAATGAGAAAACTAAGCCACCAGATGTGAAAATAATTTTCCCAGGGTCACAATGAGAGTGTTGGAAATAGGACTTTAACTCAGACAGGTTAGCTTTGAAGTCCCTTCACTTAACCACTGTACTGTTAATTCTCTGCTAAAGTATTTTAATCTTCTAATGATTGTCATACCATAAAGTCTAATGTCATAATGATTTGGACTACAGAGAAAGTTAAGAGTTCACAGCAGAACACTTCAATTCCTTGATTTGTAGTACACTAGAGCTTGAGGCTCAGACTCCAGACTTTAGCTAAAATTTGGAGAAAGTAGAAAGGAAAAACACTTCCTATGTGGTCCGATAAGCGGTGGTTGGAATCTCTGTTATCTCTTGAGAGTTGACTTGTTCCATCCAGATGTTTATTGAGCAGTATGCCTTGTAGGCCAGGGATCGAGTATTTAGTCCATTTGCAGTCACCACAAACATAATATTACAAGTATTGAAGGTGTTTGGGTTGACAAACCTGAGTTGATGAAAGACAATTTCAGAATGAACTGAAAGAAATGAGCACCAAGTAGGTCTATGAAGAAGGAAAGGGAATGAATGATCCATGCATTTTTTTAATTTTATTATTATTGTTGTTTAAGTACAGTTGTCTCCATTCTCACTCCACCACAGTCCCCCGTGTCACCCATACCCACCTCCCAGGTTCCCTCAAAGGGGGAATCTATCTCCTTTGGCTTTGTCCATGTGTCCTTTATACATGTTCCTTGGTGGCCCTTCCCCTATTTTCTCCTGTATCTCTCTCCCCTCTCCTCTCTGGTTACTGTCAGTTTGCTGTTTATTTCAATGTCTCTGGTTCTCTTTTGCTTGCTTGTTTGTTTTGTTGATTCAGTTCCATTTATAGGTGAGATCACATGGTATTTATCTTTCATCACCCGGCTTATTTCATTATTTCATTGAGCATAATGCTCTCCAAATCCATGTATGCTGTCATCAAGGGTAGGAGCTCCTTCTTTCTTTCTGCTGTATAAAATTCCATTGTGTAAATGTACCATAGTTTTTTTTATCCACTCACTGGTAGGCATTTAGGTTGCTTCCAACACTTGGTTATTGTAAATTGGGCTGCTGTGAACACTGAGGTACATAGGTTCTTTTGAATTGGTGTTTCAGGATTTTCAGGGTATAATTTCATCAGTGGTATTGCTGATTCATGCATTTTTCAATGTAGACATTTTGTAAATGATAATTGAGGCAGCCAGAGCTAGAGAAAACAAAACAGACAAACACACTACAATATAAGAAGACTGCAGTTTATATAAGTATTTGGTGGCTATCAGTATGAACATGATCTGTATACACAATATTATTTCCCATAAATTGGAAAAAAGACTCATATTTATAATAGTTCTTTTGTTTATTATCTATTTAACTTTCTCTAATGCCATGGACTACTTTGCAGTATACTAGAATACTTCAGGGAGACAGGTTGAGGAAAATGCCACATCAGTTCCTTCCCAAGATAGAAAACCAGAGATATAAAACAGGTAACATATTGCTTTAAGGCATAAGCCTAAGGTCTGACAAATACTAATTCAAAGTTTTCTCATGTATGTATCATCCCAACAATTAAGGTGATATTTTATCACGATTAAGTAGCAGAATTTTTTTCTCTTTAAAAAAATGAAAATAAATGGATTGTGGTTACAAATAAAATTTGGAATTATTTGTTTAACTTAATGTTTAAGAGTTATGGGAAGAAGTGTCATTCAGGTTAGAGTTCAGTAACCATAATGTCTATTTTATTCCTTTTACTGTGCTTTTTAATTAAACTTTAACATTTGGACTTAGGAAAACTGAGAAGATAATACAGAGAGCTACCATGTCCTCCACACCCAATGTCCCATATGATTAATCTTATTTTTGTGTAATTCCTCATAACTAATGAACTAATAAATTATCAGTAAATTAATAATTGTTATTAATACATTACTTTACTGAACTAATTATTAATAAATCATTTTATTGAAGTCTGTAGTATATACTGTTTAGTTAGTTTTAAATAATGTCTCTTTTTTTCTATTCCAGAATCTCATAGTACTTTTAACTTTCATGTCTCCCCACATTTTTCTTGGATGTGAACTTTTTCAGATTTCTCTTGATTTTTATGTCATTGAGATTTTTCAGGAGTACTCTTTAGGTATTTTACAGGATGCCCTTCCATTTGGAACTTTCTGATTTTTTTTTATATTCTGCTAAACTGGCTTCTTGAAAAGAAGACAAATCTAAGTTCCATTTTCATCACCTCACGCACAGTGCACAAACTTTCAACACGATTTGTGACTGCTGATGTTGACCTTAGGAAAGGTAGTTTCTTCATGGTGAAGTTACTCTCCACCTCTTTCTGTGCTGTACTCTTTGGAAGGAAGTTACTATATGAAACCTCCACTTTAGGAGTAGGGTTCTATACTCCCGTTTATTTAGGGGGCAGCATCTACAAAAAATTATTCAGAATTTTTCAGCAAAGAGATTTGTCTCTTCATTCATTAATTTATTCAATCATTTTTATGTCCATATTAACTCATGGATATTTATTTTATGTATCAGGTTTTAACCCAATATTAATTTACTGATTTGTAGTTCAAATTGCTTCCATTTTGACCATTGGAAGCACTTTTCAGATTACTCCTGTAATTCACTGGTATAGCATGGTGATGGTAAGATTTCTATTTTTGTTCTCTTTTTGGAGCACTTTATTACATTTTGGCACTGCATGATACTTCAGGATCATGTTATATATTTCCTGCCCAAATTCAAGAATCAGGCATTTCTCTCAAGAGTCCTGGTCTCTTTTATTTTTAGAATGATGTTGGAAAATAAGATCTGGGTGTTACTTGGATGTCCTTTCTTTTAGGTACTCTCAGCTGACAGAGCAAAAAATATATCTGTGTGTACTAATACCCATGTAAACATCTATCTAGATATGTTTCTATCTGTATATTAAATCTGTATTAATATTAAGCTAAACCTAAGTTAATAATAATTCAACTGTATTTCCTCATGGATTATTTTTGCTTCCTCCCTTGATTATCTGTAAACTCTCACTCTAATTCTGAAAATATGCTGCCCAGCATCAGGCACTCATTCACTGAAATATTGAATTTTAGTAAGTACAGGTATAACAGTATCAGGATTCTTAACGTATAACCCCATGGAGAAAACCGTTATCAACTAAAGCACAGTGCTTGCATGCAGGTCCTTTGTTTGCCTTTTGCCATATAGACTCAAATCCTTCCCAAAGTTACTTAAATCTACATATCTTCTCCCCATACTCTTCAGTGAGGTTATTTCATATATCGGTAATACAATTTGATTTTCTTACCACAGTCTGAAGTCCCCTAACCTCCTAAGTGACACTCTTTTTAATTTCCCTACAATATGTTTCATATTTCATTCTGTAAATTCTGCTTTTTGACAAATGGATAGAGTCATGTATCCACAATGATAGTATCACACAGAATAGTTTTAGCACCCTAAATAATGCCCTGTGTTTCACCTATTCATCCTTCCTGTCCTCTCTTCTTTGCACTGGAGTTATTTTTTTAATTAGATGTGTCTATATGTTTGCCTTTTCCAGAATGTGATACAAATTGAAGCATTCAGTATGTAGTCTTTTCAGACTCACTTATTCTCACTTCACATATACTACTGTTTTCCTCAATGTATTCTTTTGACTTGATAGTTTATTTTTTATTATATAATATTGTTTTATATATAAGCCATAGTTTTTAATTAATTCACTTGTGTAATGACATCTTGAATGTTTACAGTTTTTGACAATATGACTAGGTTGATATAGACATCTGTGTGCATTACATGTAGAAATAATATTCAAATCAAATAGATAAATACTTGGAAGTTCAATAAATATATCATATAATGAGACTGTCTAGCTTTGGAAGAAACTTCCAACTTCTTCCAGGTGGCTGTACCATTTGGTATATCCACTAGCAATCAAAGAGAGTTCTTTTTGCCACATATCCTTGCCAGCAATTGCTATTGTAGTGTTCTGGATTTGAGCCATGCTAATAGATGTTAATTGTATCTCGTTGTCTGATTTGCAATTCTTTATTGACAAATTATATTGAGCAACTTTTCATATGCTTATTAGCCATCTGTATATTTTTCTTCTGTGAGGTGTCCCTTTAGATTCTTTGCCCATTTTTAAACTAGGTTGTTTGATTTCTTACTGTTAAATTTTAAGGAGACTTTTTATATTTTGGAGCCAAATCCTTTTCACATATGGGTTTTCCAAACACTTTTCCCCAGTCTCTGGCTTGCATTTTCATCCTCTTAACAGTATCTTTTGCAGTATGGAACTTTAAATTTTAATATTGAAGTCCAATTTATTAATTTTTAAAACATTATGCTTATGTTTTTGGTGTTGTATCTAAAAACTCATCTCCAAACATAAAGTCCAAACAGCTTTTCTTTTATGTTTTGTAAATTTGTATAGCTTTCCATGTTACATTTAGATATATGTTTTATTTTGAGTTAATTTTTCTAAAATGTAACATCATTTTAGTTTAATTTTGTACACAAATATCATACCATAACACCATCATTTGTTAAGAAGTATCCCTTCTCTATGAAATTGCTTTTGCTCCTTTGAAGAAATCAGTTGGTGACATAGTGTGGCTCTATTTCTGGGTTTTCTCTATTCTGTTTAATTGATCTGTTCATTTGCAGATACCATGCTCTCCTGATTACTATAGTTTTATTAACCCTTGACATCAACTAGTATAAATCTTTAAATTGTATTATGTTTTTACAGTATCCTACTGTTTATTCTAGACCTCTTGTCATTCCATATAAATTTAGAAATCAGTTTGTAACTATGTACAAAATAAGCTGCTGATTTAAACAAGATTGTTTTGAAACTGTAGGTAAATATGAGAGAAGTGACATCTTAGCAATATTTCGTTTTCTAATACATAAACAGATAGTTTTATATATAATTTCCCATTTATAGATTGGGACCAATTTGCCTGAATTATTGCTATGTATTTCACTTTGGAGTGATTTATTAAATGATATTTTTCACTTTATTATTTTATTATTTTTTAAAGATTTTATTCATTCATTTTTAGAGAGAGAAAAAGGGAGGGAAAAACATAGAGAGAAACGTCAACGTGTGGTTGCCTCTCATGTGGCCTCCACTGGGGACCTGGCCTGCAACCCAGGCATGTGCCCTAACTGGGAATCAAACTGGCGACCCTTTGGTTTGCAGCCTGAACTACCCAGCCAGGGCTTATTTTTATTATTGACAATAGTACACATGTCCAAATTCCTTTGCCCTTTGCCCACCTCCAGCCTGCTCCTGCTCCCCACCAATCTACTTCTCTCTGGCCATCACCATACTGCTGTCTGTGTCTACAGTTTATGCATACGTGTTATTTGGCTAATCCCTTCACTTTCTTTAATCCATTTCCTTCTTCTGCTCTCCCATCTGACAGCTATCAGTTCAATGTATCCATGCCTCTGTTTCTATTTTGTTGGTCAGTTTATTAATTAGATTCCACATATAACTGAGATTTTATGGTGTTCATCTTTCTCTGACTGGCTTATTTCACTCAGCCTAATAACCTCCAAGTCCATCCATTCTGTCACAAAAAGTAAGATTTTCTTTTTTTTTAATGGCCACATAGTATTCCATTGTGTAAAGGTACCACTAGGTTTCACATGTAAGTCATTAGGTCCATCAATGTTGTTTAAAATGACAAGATTTCATTATTTTTATAGATGATTAATATTAATTCTAGAGTGTGTATATAATATATAATGCATTATACATAATGTATAACACATAATATGCAATACATAAAGCATAATATAATATATAATATATAATAAATATATAATATAACACATGCACATATATATAATCTTTATATAGTCTTTTTTCTTTCATGCACACAGGAATGCTTATGTTTTTTCTATATCTTGCTTATTGTAAATGATGCTGCAGTAAACATAGGAGTGGATATATATTTTCAAATTGCTGTTTTTTATTCTTCAGGTAAATACTCTGAGTGGAATAACTAGATCAATTATACTCTTCATTATATGAGGAATTTTTGTACTGTTTTCCATAGTAGCTATACAAATTTACAGCCCCACCAACAGAGTAGGTGTTCCCTTTACTTTAAAACTAATTATTTCTTGTCTTCTTGATAATAATAATTCTAACAAGGGTGAGGTATT